AGGAATCCTTGAAGAAATGGCATAAACCCCTCAAGTGAGTCTTTGCCTTAAAACATTCTAATCTCTCTGTGCATAGAAGTGGGGGGTGAGGATAGGGTGGAGGAAGAACGGGCTTGTATTCCCTCTCCAAATACCAACTACAATAATCCTTGTTAAGCCCTCCTTCTTTCCTCGGTACATTTCCTTTCTCTAAGCTTTACCGCTTGTAAATAATGGACATTTAAAATTATCCTGTCCCTTCTCCCTTGTTAACGGGACCTAAGACGGAAGAACTGAGGAAAGCACGCAGGGAAGGACAGCCAGGTTTTGTTAAGCCAGAGAAAGTGTGCACGTGTCTCTGACCTATGGCCTTTTAGTAGCTCTTCTGGTTTCTTTTATTTGCACGCTCAAAGAAGATAGAGGGCAGAGAGTTTTGCAAAAGCTTACATTTCTTTCTCTCGCGTGCACGTACACACACACTCGTGCATTTTATGAAAAAGAAAAAAGAAAGGGAGAAAACTAAAATACAGCATATTTCCTCCAACTTAGACAAGGATCGAAAGAAAAGAAAGGAACAGATACAGGAAAAGTGGAAACCAAGGCGGATCATCTGCGTGTGGGTGAGAGATTTGTGGCCTGGGAACACGTGCGGACCTCGCCATCCCACTCGTTCCACGCGTCCGGCGCCTTGCCCATCCAGCGACATTAAGGAGCATCGGGCCCGGCGGCACCCAGAACCGAGGAGCCCCACTTGATCTCTGCTCTGGCGGCCGCAGCTCAGGGAGGGGGCTTAAAGGCGCTCTCCTTAGGGCTGCCTCTGCTCCTCTCGAAACGTCCCAGGCTGCTCAGTGTCCTTTGCGCTCTAGCTTGTGAACTGCCCAAACCGCGGACTCGACTTGACTAACAAAGAACCCTGGAAGAGAAATCAGAAAGGCAAAGTTGAGGGTTCGGGGTGCAGGCAACCGAACTGCTAGAACGAAAAGAAACTGCCTTTCACTGTTTTCCTCTTCACCTTCTCTCCTTCTCTCTTTTTCCCCATGAATCCATTTAATCCATAGTCTTTTCGTTTTATCCCCTCGCTCAACTAACTCCCCCCACCCCCACCGGTCTCATAATTTATAGCAGCATATTCCCAGCTATTGCCACAGCGTGCCTCTTAATTATCTTAAGAGAAGCTCAGACTCCGGAAAGGAAACCTGTTCGCCCCTGAACCCGACAACCTGGAACCCGTAACAACCTTCCAAACTCGGCTACATCGAAGCCTCCCTCGGTGGGAGCCCTCGGTCCGCAGATCAGAGCGTGACTCTGCTGGCTCGTCTGCCCAGGAGGGCGCCTCTTTCCGCTCAAGGGGACTTACTTCCAAGCGGATCCGCACAGAACGCAGTCAATACACCTAGAAGGTGGCGGCGGTGTGCTGGACGTCAGTTCTGTCTAAATTGATGTCGACTTACTAAACAAGTGAGCGGAGCATCTGCCTCTTTTTACTTGGTAAAGAACATTAATTTATAGGAGCATGGAAGGAGCCCAAAACAATAATTTAAAACAGAGAATATCCTTTTTTTTCCTTCTTCTTCTTCTTCTTCTTCTTCTTCTTCTTCTTCTTCTTCTTCTTCTTCTTCTTCTTTTTCTTTCCCTTTCTCTTTCTTTTCTTCATTTTTTTTTTTTTT